TCTAAGTCCTATGTTAATACAGATAATAAAACAATAATAATAATACACAACAGGTAGAAAATGGGTGTAAGTGGTGAAGTCATTTGACTTGCACTGATTTGGAGTTTGTACATCCACCAAAGTGAGTGAAAGTGACAGGCCGTGAGGATGGCAAGATGTTAGGAGGAAAAGCAACTAACAAGAGGGTATAAGATAAAGCAGATTCTCCCCTACCTGATCTGATATCCTCCTGACAGTTGCATTTCTTCTACATTCTCCTTTCTATGTCCTTGGAATATCAATTGCACTTATTTTGCCACACCCACTAAATGTCATATTAGTGCAAGTTATACTACTCTACCACTAACACTTGTTCTCTGACCAACTTACACCCAACATGGGACTTACACAACCATTACCATCACCATGGAATTTGGCCCAATTTGTTAAAATGTCTTAGGCCCACAGTATGTGTGCACTGCAATGAAAGCCCAGGTTTAGTAGAACTTGAGTTAGCAGACTCTGGGTTTGTTAACCAAGGGCATGAGTGTCTACACTTATTTGTTACCACAGGGTAGGAATATTGGAACTGCCAACCTGGGGCACCAACATCTACATGGCTTTATGGGGGCCAGAGTCCAACCACCCATATCCCAGACTTCCTAGTGCCCTCCCAAATGTGGCCACTCTAGCCCTTTGTTTTTGGTGCAGTGTGGAAAAATGTGACTGTTCACCAAACTTGACTGTCCAGAGAACAAAGACAATCAGCCCATGGGATTGTGACACTTTTGACAGAATCCCAGAGCAGAAATCCAGTGGGGCTATGTCTACACTGCAAAGCACTAGGGTTTGAACCCTAGGTCCTGACTTGACTCAGGCTCGGACCCTCCACTCCCGTAGAATTCTGAGACCCTGATCTGAGCTCTAGGTTAGCACAATGTGTGTGTAGATGGAAGGGTGGTTACGCTTGACACCGAGTTCAAACCCTGGGCTTTAAAAAAAAACCACAGTGGCAAGTCTCAGAGCCCAGGTCAACTGATTTGGGCTAAAAACAGCAGTGTAAATGTTCCCATTCAAGCTGGCCAGGTCTCAGAGCATATACTCCAGCCTGAGCCTGAAGGTCTACTGTGCTATTTTTAGCCCCATAGCACAAGCCTTACGAGCCTGAGTCAGTTGACCTGCATTCTGAGACTATTGTCATGGTTTTTTGTTTGGTTGGTTGGTTTTTGCTGGGTAGACATACCATTACTTAGCTACAGCAACCATTTTACAAGATAATATAGGACATATATGCATAACATTTAGTCTCAGACAAAAATCTTTGTTGAGCTGCAGATCAGATTGAGAGTACGTATCGGTTGTGTAGGCGTGAAAAAAAAATCTTACAAGAACATTCAGTTTTTAGAAAAAATGCAATACAAAGCCATGGAATTCAGAGTTATGATTAAAATTATATAGACACCTACATTTATGAAAGTCAGGAAAAGCATCATTAATGTGGTCTATGTAGCTACGTAACAGTTACTATACCTTTAAATGTCTATGAATCTTCTGGAAACAGCTACCATTTTGTATTCCAGTTCAGATGCAGAATGTTGGAGAGAGACAATGTGATCTTTCTGTCATAGAGACTTTGGGCTTGTTTCCTCTAGTCTCTTAGAATAATTTTATGTCACTGTGACCCCACGAAAACCAGTATAACATAGTGGAGAAATAGGGTCTTTTTATTTGTTTGTTTTCTTTTCTTTAATGAAAAAGAAAAGTAATCTAAGTTGAAAACACAGGTTTTGTTCTTTGTGTCTGAACAGACAGAATAGTTAAGGTCACCCAAACAATCTTAATTCTGCATAGAGGATTTTGGCTTAACTTGTTATGCAGCAACAAATTTCAGATCTAGCTTTGAGTCTGAAAATCCCAAATCCTTATAAGGTGTTTGAATCTAGAGTTCTAGTTGGGGGGCTCTCTCAAATTCATGTTTTCTTTGGTTCCACACAACTGTACGCTGTTAACTTATATCCATACTCGGTCATTTTATTTTGCAATCGTCTGTTGAAATCAATCATTCTTAAGAATAAAGAGGAAGAATATGTCACAATAAATAACCTTTTTTGTACACAATAAGTTACAACAGTCACATTTATTAATCTTGCTGTAGTACTTGTTAATAACAAAAATAGTTATGCAGGAAAATTGATTTTGGTTGATGAAATACCTCCATCATAGACCACTTCCTGGTCTAATATCAGGAGTGCAAGTAGGGTGGTACCCTCCAGTACGCAGTACCGGCAAGAAATTTTTCCAGTACCCCGTATCTGCTAAAGACTTGGGGCTAGCCCTCCTCTCCGGGCAGAGGGCTGCTCTCTGCTCCTTAAAGGGCATTCATTCTTTATATGGCTTTAACAGCACAATACATATGCTAACAAACTTATACAAAGGCTTTAAGTTTGTTAGTATATGTATTGTGCTGGTACGTTGGTCAGGAGTCCTCAAGATGAGAGGAGTCGGGGGACGGAAGGTGTTTAAACAGTATTTTTTATTCTGTTTCTCCCCATTGGTCTAAATTATCCATGACATCCATACTGCATCACATCAAGTCAAAATCATTTGAGGAATGCCTCTGCTTGCACTAACCAGAGGATGTTTGGATTCTGATATCAGCCCAGTTCTGCAGCCTGACGGGAATCAGGTATTGTCCCCAGTGTACATAGAATTCTTCTTTGCAGCCAAACTAGTCTAACATGCATTTTGTTAACTGGAACTGGAGCAGCAAAACAAAGAAAATAAATGCCTCATTTTCCAGTTTTGTGGGTGAGAGAACTATAAGTGAAGATTATAATGCTGGACACTGATGGCCTTAAACCAGCTGCCTTAGGAATCTGCCAAGAACTTTGCTGAAAATACGTTCCTCATCTTAGCAACGGAGCTAAGACTTATCACACTTCTGCCCACCTTTATTCAAATGAAGCTCCATCTGATCTGACAGCTCAGGCATTGTCAGTTTCGTCCAGAACAACTTAGAAACTTGGAACCTAAGCCTGTAAATTGAAGACAATGGGACTATTTGCAGGTCTATGGACAACTTTTGTGGACTGATAACAGTTTCAGGAGTCTGTTCCTATAAAGGAAGTTGAAACCCCCATTGAAATGAAATGTTGGGGTACAATACCATAAAGCAGTTTAGCATACAGTTCTACTTAAAATTTGTTCTTTAATAAGTCATACATATGCTGAAATGGCTCCTCACCCAACTCCCATATTCCATATAAACAGATTGAATACTACATATTTGGGGGGGAAGTGAGAAGTTATGCATGCTAACGTTTGTATATACGTTGGAGGGGATGGGGAGAGCGTGGGGACCCCCGGCTGGGGGCAGGGCAGGGCGGAGTCACATGGAGGATCACGTGGGGAGGTCACATGCCCCCCCACGTTGTGTCCCTCCCATGAGTGCAGTACCGCCAAGAAAATATTTCTACTTGCACCATTGTCTAATTCTATCAAGTTTTCTGGGCCTTGTAGTCATGTGTTTGTAATCAAACACCTGGCACTGAAAAAAATACAATTTCTTCTCATCCGTTCCGTGTTTTTACAAAAATGAGACTTGGAAAAGCAAGCTTGAAATAATGGTAACCCAATGAATCTTGCATAACTAGCACACTCCAACTTGAAAATGCTTTTCTGCTTCTGCAAGTAACAGTTGATTTCCCTGGAGGTTCCCTTTTTACCTTTCAACTACATGCTGCCATGCACTGGCAGCTCCCCTTCCCACCCCAGCTCACCTCCACTCCACCCCCTCCCCTGAACGCGCCAGCCCGCTCTGCTTCTCCGCCCCCCACCCCAGGCTTCCCGCGAATCAGCTGTTCACGCAGGAAGCTGGGGCAGGCTGAGAAGCAGGCCGCGGCTTCCTGCTCAGGCCCAGAGAGGCGGAGGTGAGCAGGTAACCTGGGGGTGGAGGGGCGTGCAGGGGAACCGCTGCCCACCCCAGCTCACCTCCGCCACCCTCGGCCTGAGCGGGAAGCTGCCGCCTGCTTCTCAGCCCTCCCAGGCTTCCCGCCAAACAGCTGATTTGCGGGAAACCAGGGGAGGGGGGGCGGAGAAGCAGAGCGGGGTGGCATGTTCAGGGGAGGAGGCGGGGCGGGGAGCTGCCAGTGGGTGCTCTGCACCCACCAAATTTTCCCCATGGGTGCTCCAGCCCCAGAGCACCCAGGGAGTTGGCGCCTAAGGCGCCACCTTTGATGTGATCAGTGGGGGAGTGGCCGCTCCCCCTGCTCCCCCCCAGCTGTGCTCCCCTGCCCCTAGGAGCCAGAGGGACCTGCCGGATGCTTCCTGGGAGCTGCCCCAGGTAAGCGCCTCCGGGACTCCCCACCTCGCCCCCCGGCAGGTGCCTCTGGCTCTTAGGGGTGGGGTGGGCACCCAGTACGGTGGCCCACAAGACCCTCCTGCTCGGGTCTGGGGGCAGTCAGGGGACAGGGGAGGGGAGTGGATGGGGCAAGGGTCCTGGGGGGCGGGGGTGGGCAACGACCCCCTCGTGGGGTAAGGAGGGAACCTGTTGTTAAGATTTTGGCAGCTCATCACTGAGTAACTCCATTCTGGAGAGCAGGACCAGGGCCTGCTGTGTATCACTAGCTCATCAAAAATCAAAGATGCTTTCCATAACAGCCAAAGGAAAGATAGGCAAAACAGGTATTTGGGAAGAAATAGCTAAACCAGATCTCTCTCATAGTAGTACCATGACTCCTGATAGTGTTTGCAGGATCAAGCCCTTCTCACACTAAGGTCACACTCTATAATCTGCTCGCTCTCTAGTCCCAGTCCAGAGAGAAATTAAAACTAAAGGGAGGATTTAATTCAGTAATGTGGCTGTCCAGCTACAAAATGATTTTTGTTATACGAGCTTGACTTATTCTCATGTCGTTATAATTTCCAAAAATAATTCCAACAGGCTAGTATATAAGCATTTATAAATTAAAATCATACCTACTAGTGTGAAGTAATTTAGGACCATTGTGTCTCTCATCAATCATTCTGATTTCCCATTCTCCTATTTAGTTTCCCTCATCTTTTCCACTATAATTTATTCCTCTTGGTTTCATATGTTCTGTAAATACATGACTTATTAGTGTTTCTTTAAAACACAGAATATAAGTTATACAGTATTTAATTTATAAATTTTATCATTTAAGATAAAATCACATAGAAGGAAATAGGTATACTTTAATTTACATAAATACCAAAAGAAATTAGACACTGTATAAGACATACTAACACCAACCATATTGATTGTCAGTTTTTCAAACAGTGGATCATTCTTTTCAAGAGCTATGTTAAACAGACTATGTCAAATGGTAGCTAGCCACACACTTAGATCTATGTTTAATTTTATTCGACATATTGGCATAAGAATTTTAATACCTATACTCAATTCCATACAACATTTATAAGGAGATCTACATTTGCAATGATTAAACCATTGTGATTCTCTTTGCAACACATCCTTAGCAATAAAACTGGTAAAAAAAAAAGTTTCATACAAATGTTGATGTCATTTTCCCCTGCTTTTTAAAATTATAAATCAAATTTGACAGAATTTTTTTAAAACATTGAAAATTTTTAAACTCTATAGAAATAAGAAAAATATCACAAAACTTGTTTTTTAAATTGTTCCTGGATTTGCCCCGATCAAAATTAGAATTGTGTGAAAATTTTCACACAATTTTGAAATTGAAAAAAAGATAGTAGCCCTACTTTCCATTTGATCAAGACTGTGGAGCTTAACCAAAGACTGGTTTCAGAGTAGCAGCCATGTTAGTCTGTATTCGCAAAAAGAAAAGGAGGACTTGTGGCACCTTAGAGACTAACAGCTCACTTCATCGGCATCCGATGAAGTGAGCTGTAGCTCACGAAAGCTTATGCTCAGATAAATTTGTTAGTCTCTAAGGTGCCACAAGTACTCCTGTTCTTTTAACCAAAGACTGATACACTAAAGGTGATTACACATTGGAGATATTCATGGTGTCAAAAATGACATCTGTGTTTGCATAGAGCACTTAGCATTTTCATGCTATATTCTCCATGTTCTTGACAAGTTATTTTGTGTGTCTCACTGATCAGTTCCATTATATCATTAAATATTATTCACAAACTTCACTTTCAACATGACTTATATTTTTCTTTTCAACACATTTTAAAACAAGCTGACTAACTTTTAACAAAGAACTGTGACAGCACTTGCAAGACAAAAATGGAAAAAGCAGTTAGCACACCTTGCTCGCCCCGTGAAATAAACAAAGCGAAGCATCCATGTTACATATACGCACACTATAACGCTGCATCACTCCATACGAGCCATGTAACATCCATCATAAACGCAGTCAAGAAGACCCAAGTGCTTTTCTGAAGTACTGATAACATACTATGTTTAACTGCTGAAAGCCAGGACGTGTTCAACTACAGGAAAGGAGATGGACTAGGTGAACCTACGGTTATCTGCCTTCACTAAAATTCTATGGAACAAAATTTGCCTTCCTTCCTGGGATTGCAATGTGGTTGCATAGGGTAAAGATGAGAATTTGGCCCTATATTTTTAAACGTAGTGATTATTTGACCATTAGTTGATAGCAAGAATCATCACAGTCACAGGATACAGAAAACACTGTACAGTGTGATTATGCCAGAGATTCAGGCAGGAAGATTTAGTCTAGTACCAAACAAACCCTAGCATGTAGTCAGTATTACTCCTGCAATAGATGCTCACATATATACATACCTTGCCCAGTGAGAGAGAATATTTGAGTGACGTGTTAAATGTCAAGCACAACTATAAGGATTATATATTGATGCTGCTCATATTGTTGGAGACATGTTCTAAAAATGAATGTGAAACCACGGAAGAAGAAACGTGATCATGAATGAGTGCAAAAACTAACCTTAGTATACATGGTTTCAAAGAGCTGTTGTGGAAATTGCTGAGCCACAAGTCTAAAAGGACTGTGTGTTCAAATCCATGCTGAAGCACGGGGATCATTCTGAACTTCGTGACATTCACCTGGCATTTGATGCTTTCAAAGTGTTCTTTTAAGCATAAGATGAGCAAGAAGAAAAACAGAAATAGAAAAAGTCAGTTTCTTATCACAAAAAAAGATTGTGCAAGCATTATCAGTATCACCCTCCAAAAGTTCTTATCTTCTGCAAAAGATCTGCCCCTACACTTTTAACTCAGGTCACTGCTTTATTTCAACCTGTGGGGAAAAGCGATGTGTGTATCTAGAGAGGAGACAATCTATTATAGTATATTGGGAGATTCTCATAGCGTCTTCTAACTGTGAGGAGGCAGAAACCATAAAGATATAGCATTCTATCTTTGCAAGTTCTGAATGAACTCCTCCATTTGAATTCTATGTACAGCAGAAGCCTCTTCATGCAAGATGCTTTGATAGATTCCAATTCATCCTGATTAGGCAGCCGTTCCAGTTAAACTAAGTTTACCCAAATTATATTTCTGCCACATATCTCTGCAACTCAGTTCATTCAGCTTAATCATGATTACATTTATGTACCAGATATTACTGCACAAAATTGATTATCTTGCAATACTGTACCAATTTAAAAGATCAAAACATTCATATTAGTATTAAAGAGCAACACATTAATATGGATTTCCTTCCTAGCTGCCATTGTGTGAGACAAGTAGAGAATAAAACCGACCAGCGTCTTGTAACCTGAATCACCACATTAAGGTCTCTAAATGTAATTAGCAAGGCATTATGGTCTAGCATCATCCCAACAGTACTCTTGAGCAATTACAATTGTCTCACTAAAGGGACAAAATACTAATTCAACTTAAAAGGAAAAGATAATTGGCTCCCTGAGGTTTGTCCCATGAAAAAGGCTTTCTGATGATCCAAATCTTGCTTAAGTGGTTCAACTGTATTCTCAACAGATACTTATAAGATGCTCTGTTCTTCCTGACTGCTCATTATCCAAAATTAGTTCTCACGGCAGTCATGATCACAATGTCTGGCAAAGTGAAAATTGGACCAGCTTTCAAGAGCCTTCAACATTCTAGCCCTATGTGGAATCCATGTTCTTCATGTGCCACTGGAATTTCTGCAGGCAAAAATAAAACAAGTTGTCACTGGAAGATGATGGAAGCCCCTGACCACCTGGTGACAAGGATTTGAGTCCTGACCAGATGTTTCTTGTAAGACTATTTATCATTCTGGGATAGTTAGCCAAGACTTTGTGCCATCTACCTGGCAATTTCTGTAGCCCTTGCACAAATCAAATTCCCCATTGACCTTAATGAGAGCTCCACAGAAATAAAAAATGCAGGAATGGCCTCTTTCTCCAAAGAATCTGCCTGGGATGGAAAAACAACCCCACACTGAAGGTTCTTAGAGCATGACACAGCTCTCAGATTATACCTTCAGGCTTCTGCTGAAGCCATAGCAGCTCATTCAGTACAATACATCTCCTGAACCCAAAGCATATATTGAAGAACATCTTATTCAGAACATACTCAAACTTCTGTGGGAGCCAGGCTAGCACTGCTAGCCAAGTTCAAGTCTTGGACAGCTGTAAGAATGGGTATTATTTTGTTAGGGATATGCTCAGACATTTCCCAGTCAAATGAAAGCTGCTTTAGCTACAGTTTTAGTTCTAGTAATGTGATGTCTATACAGGGCTTGTTTATTGTCTGTAAAATTCTCACCTGTTCTTGTAATCATTTAGAGATGGTCAAAAAACAGAAGTGTTTTCCATTGAAAAATGAAGTTTTGTCAAAATCAACATGTTTTTCAGGAAAGGTGTCAATTTTGAGAAAATTTTCAACAGGAAAAGTCACAACAAATCATTTCAATGCTCTCATTTTATTTCAGTAACATCAAAATGTTTCATTTTGACATCATTTTAATTCATTTTGACTTTTATTTTTAGTTAAATATTTACTATGATGTATGATCGATACATATTATATTTAATATCTTAAAATAAAGGCCAAAACAAAATGAACTGAATCGATAAAGTAAAAATGAAATGTTTTACCTTATCAAAGTGAAGCATATCAAACTTATTGAAATTAAGCATTTTGACATGATCAAAACAAAACAATTCTCCATTAGTGAAATGAAGTGATTGGATAGTCCCAAATGAAATATTTTTGAATTTCTGTTTCACAGGAAATTTTGGCTATTTGTTCTGATTGGCAACAAATTTGTTTTCAAAATGTCAGAATTTATCGCAGAATGGAAATTCAAGTTTCTAACCAGCTCTATAGTTGCTAATGTGTAACAAATACATGCCCCCTAAAAGACACAGTGTATATTTTTATCTTTTGGACAACAGATAAAATGGGCCTTCACTTTTTCATCCATGATTTTGCAGGTGGAAATAACTGAGGGACAATTTTATGAACACAACTATTTGCATGTGCAATTTAGGATCCAGTTACCTAATTTATAACATAATCAGGTACTAAATCTATATTAAGACTGCAATTATTTGTGCCTATAGATTGTGAATGAAAACCAGGTTCATTTTTAAAAGCTTGACCCAAAGTCTACAGGTGAGAATTTCAAAAGCCCTTCGTGCTGGTCTAACTCTGCTCACATTGAAGTGCAAAACTCCTATTGGCATTAATAGGAACAGAGTTAAACCAACACTGAGCACTTTTGAAAATCCCATCCTATTATTTTGTTTCTGAATAATTCTTTGCCTTTTTTTCTCATCATCATTATGAGAAACATAATGAAACATTTTAAACAAAAGCTCCCTGGCAACTACTGGAAGGGAATGTTAGATTTTTCCATCTGAAAATTGCATCAAATTTTGTAATTACAAAAATTCAAATATAGTTTGCTGTGTCACAGAATAAACTTTCTATTAATTTTAAGAAACACGTATTTAGAAATTTTCACCAAGCTCTTATTGTGTATTCTTATTGAATGGAGCTGATTTTTTAGATCTGCTGCTGAATTCAGTTTAACTTCACTTTACTCTAAAAACATATGCGATGAAAATGTGGACTAAAATCATCCAGGCTGCTGCTTATGTACGATGACAATATGCAATATGGCTGGGCATTTGGGGTTATATTTAACTTATTCACCCGCCCTATATAAATCTGGCACTGCAGCATTTGCTGTTAAAAGTAATGAGATGATATTCAAATACCAAATGGAATGGTGTGCATGTATTGTTTGTCTTTGATTTTAAGTGAAGGAAAGTTTTTTAACTCTAAAAAAAGGTAGAACACAGTGGAGTAGAAATACCAATATAAAGAAAGAAACACTTTTACTTAGATTTTCCACTCCTTTTTGGCCAACAGTTCCCAAGTCCTGACAATTTTACTCACATGAGCAGTCCCCGTTGAAAACCAATGGAAATAATTGTGAGTATGACAAATAGTTCTTGGCTTGTACTGATAATGTGGCTGTGACCATGTCACTAGTAACTGTAGATAAAAAGCAAACTCAGGGCCACATGCAGCCCTGTTCCAAATGGGCTGACTTTCATATACTTTAGTGGGACTTGTGCCCTCTTACTCCAGGGCTAGCTTGTATATGGGTCTAATGTGACTGTGCAGAGGAGAGTAAGACCATGTTAGCACTGGATCATGGTTCCAAACAGGAGAGGAAAAAGAAAAGGAGTACTTGTGGCATCTTAGAGACTAACAAATTTATTTGAGCATAAGCTTTCGTGAGCTACAGCTCACTTCATCGGATGCATTCAGTGGAAAATACAGTGTGGAGATTTATATACACAGAGAACATGGAAATAGTTTTACTTTGTGTAATGACCCTTCCACTCCCAGTCTTTATTCAAGCCTAAGTTAATTGTATCCAGTTTGCAAATTAATTCCAATTCAGCAGTCTCTCATTGGAGCCTGTTTTTGAAGTTTTTTTGTTGAAGAATTGCAACTTTTAGGTCTGTAATCGAGTGACCAGAGAGATTGAAGTGTTCTCCGACTGGTTTTTGAATGTTATAATTCTTGACCTCTGATTTATGTTCATTTATGCTTTTACGTAGAGACTGTCCGGTTTGGCCAATGTACATGGCAGAGGGGCATTGCTGGCACATGATGGCATATATCACATTGGTAGATGTGCAGGTGAACGAGTCTCTGATAGTGTGGCTGATGTGATTAGGCCCTATGATGGTGTCCCCTGAACAGATATGTGGACACAGTTGGCAACGGGCTTTGTTGCAAGGATAGGTTCCTGGGTTAGTGGTTCTGTTGTGTGGTGTGTGGTTGCTGGTGAGTATTTGCTTCAGGTTGGGGGGGCTGTCTGTAAGCAAGGACTGGCCTGTCTCCCAAGATCTGTGAGAGTGATGCGTCGTCCTTCTGGATAGGTTGTAGATCCTTGATGATGCATTGGAGAGGTTTTAGTTGGGGGCTGAAGGTGATGGCTAGTGGCGTTCTGTTATTTTCTGTGATGGGCCTTTCCTGTAGTAGGTAACTTCTGGGTACTCTTCTGGCTCTGTCAATCTGTTTCTTCACTTTAGCAGGTGGGTATTGTAGTTGTAAGAACGCTTGATAGAGATCTTGTAAGTGTTTGTCTCTGTCTGAGGGGTTGGAGCAAATGCGGTTGTATCATAGAGCTTGGCTGTAGACAATGGATCGTGTGGTGTGGTCTGGATGAAAGCTGGAGGCATGTAGGTAGGTATAGCGGTCAGTAGATTTCCGGTATAGGGTGGTGTTTATGTGACCATTGCTTATTAGCACTGTAGTGGCCAGGAAGTGGATCTCTTGTGTGGACTGGTCCAGGCTGAGGTTGATGGTGGGATGGAAATTGTTGAAATCATGGTGGAATTCCTCAAGGGCTTCTTTTCCATGGGTCCAGATGATGAAGATGTCATCAATGTAGTGCGAGTAGAGTAGGAGCATTAGGGGACAAGAGCTGAGGAAGCGTTGTTCTAAGTCAGCCATAAAAATGTTGGCATACTGTGGGGCCATGCGGGTACCCATAGCAGTACCGCTGATTTGAAGGTATACATTGTCCCCAAATGTGAAATAGTTATTGGTGAGGACAAAGTCACAAAGTTCAGCCACCAGGTTTGCCGTGACATTATCG